TTATCCTGAAGAGTTCGGTCACCTTTATGATTCTTTTCTTATGCAGGATTTAGAGAATTATTATTATTGTGTTAAAAATGATGAGTTATTTCGTGAATTAAGAGGAATTCATGAATTAATTGAGTTGATGGTGTAGACAAAATTGAATCTATCATATTCATGAGTCTTGCTCCTCAAAGTTGTATGAATTTTATTGGTTGTAACTCCAAGTTTTGAAAGAGCTTTTTAAGATTTGGGTTACATAAAAAAAAGTTTCAAAATCAAATAAGCCATAAGTTCGGGAATGATTGTCTATTAGGATAAATTGAAATAGATTTATTGAGCGTTGTAGACAATAAGTCTATTTTACAAATTTTTTCAAAATATGATAACATGCCATGGACTTTTGTTGTAACTTGTACTAGTAGGATATTTTCTCATTTTTTTTAAATTTTAATTATTATTTAAATTTATATTTTGAAACAGACACTCCTATATTAAATTTCTGGGTCCGACACTAATTAAACCATGTTAGGTTTTTGGGTAGGGCTTAGGTAAGATTTATATTGGAGCCAATGTAACTTTTTTAATTTAATTTTGAGGATGTGGCATGATGATATGGCAAATTAGGATGAGAACTAATTGAATGACTGATTTGTCACCTAGTGAAAATATATGAGACTTTTTCTTTACATTTTAAACATAAGTAACCAATTTGTTAGTAAATTCAAAAGTAAATGACTTTGTATACAATTGAGATTGAAAAATCATATTTAGCAGTATGAAATGGTTTAACCATGGTGAAACCATGATTTCAGCATAAAATATCATATCGTTAACTTTTCCGATACAACTTCCGCTATGATGTTACATGTTATTTGACTCACTAGTGTATCCATTACCCACTCTAGGATCCATCCATTGTATCTTCCTTCTTTGGCGGTTTGTTCCTCCAAAGAATAAATAAAGGCATAGGGTCATACACCATTGAATGTGGGGAATCTGAAAGTTCCTTTTTTGAAGGAAAGTAAATCTGAAATTTATTGAACCATCTCTAGATAAGCGTGAAAATGCGTTGTATAGACATGGAGCTTAGTTTATGGGCATAACTATATAAAGATATATCCTTCCGAAGACTACAAACTACCAATAGAAGTACAAGGTTATTATAAAACCAAAAATAGGAATCCAAGGCGAAAAAAGAACAACAATGGCGGTGACCATCATGAAGAGAAACACAACCGGGAAGTTGTTTCTTGCCATTGCAATTGTGGTGTTGTTGGTTGCGGCGTCACCATTCCCATGTCATGCTAATGATCCTCACTTGGTGTGTTTTGAAAAATGTCTGAAGCATTACGGTACGGCATATTACGACTGGTGTGTCGATAAATGCAAGAAGCCACTTCCCTCCTCCACCTTCAAGAGAGGCTCCGGTGATTAGAAGTGTGGCGAGGAAGTATATGTGATAATCAAACTAAGGGGTATGAGTGAATAATAATGCACTATTCTATATATGAAATAGTACGAGTTCTGGTTCCCTTTTCATGCAATCACTTCCTTCAGATTTTCCTACGATTAACATGCCAAGGGAAACAAGAGATGCCCCAACGACCTGCAGCTATATATGGGTGAAACTGGGTCGGATTTGACTGTGACCCTACGAAAACTCTATTTGACCCGGTCTTGCAGGTTCAAAATTTAAACATGGCCAGGCCCGATCCTATATCTTCCTTGACCCTATCTGACCATTTTGGGTTGACATTGACCCTACGAAAACTTCCATGAATTTTTTAAAAAAATCATTCAAGATTTATTTTGATTTGAATGATTTAGGATTTTGGGTTAGGGTTCACAATTTGAGATTTATGGTTGGTGTTTAAAATTGAAAGTTTAGGAGATAGGGTAATGAATTGATTAGTTGTGATCCTTTGTTAAATCGTCATATTAAAGACTAATGTTACCACTTAAAATTCAAAATTCGATATCTTATAACTACTTTTAGAGTATGCAAAAAAAAAAAAAAATGAGTGCCTCGAAGTGGCCACCTTATTTACATATATTGTGTGTAATGGTACTTAGATTACATATTTTGACTTCACTCGGCTAAATGGAGTTTTTGCTTATTTGGATTCTACAAGCAAGGATATCCATTTTGTTTTGTCAAGTTAAGGAAAACAATTATTCTTCAGTGCATCTTCTAGATGGAGATCTTTTTTCTGTCTTTCAGTCATACTGCTACATGTATTGATTCTTGTAATCCTCTGATAATATATGGTAGAATTTTGTGTACTTTTCTCCGTTTCAAAGTAAGTATGACATTTTTGTCTTTACAATTCTTTATTAATTTATATAAAAAAGATATTGATATCGGGATTTGAACCAGAGTTCTTTCAAACAAAGACAACAAATATAATCAATTACACTCAACAAATTTGTTGTAGCTTTTTGAATACAAACCATAGACAAAGTTAAACTCTGAAAACCAGAGGACTTTTCCATTATGATTAGCTAGCCCACTAAGTCTCATGTAAGTATTATTACAATGTTTGATACATCGATTTTTATAGTAGAGTTTCATATAACTTTCTCCATTTTTAAATTTCTTAATTTTCAGGGTAAATTGGTAATTGGCTAGCATGGAAGAAACTATTTCTTTTACTATGTGTTGAGTCCTTGCATTTTACATTTTTTGTTTTTTTCTATCTTTGTTCTTATCCCTTCCTAAGCTCCTCTAAAATTCCATCCATAGTGCAATAGTTTGCTCCCTTCACTTCCTCGTACAACGCCGCCTATGAAAATCAATCTTCTGGTATCTCTTAGAACTACGGTTTGATTGTTGGGAAATGAAGCTGGGCAAGTAGAAGACTTCCACTTCGATATAAGTCCATGGCGAATAGAATGGAGTTCAATAAAACAGTTAGGGTCTGGCCTATCTCACTCGATTCCTCCGCACTAGCATCGCCCAATGGTTCTATCTCCCATATATCGATGAACTACTAGAAGAACTATTTTGTTGCTTCTTTTGGTCAGCTATATCTTCCTGCTTTACTCCTCTTCCTATACCAGACTTTGAACTTAAATGGGGTCTTGGTCTTTGTCCAAGGTTAATCGCTTTTCTTCTATTTGTCTCATGGTTTTACACTAATTTTGTTATTGTATTGTGTAGAATACTTTAACGTTTAGATATTGATATATATGTATTGGCTCTCAAGCAAAAGAAAGAAATATTAGCTAAAGGTTATCAATATGTGTTTCTTATTTATGTTACGCTTTTTCAGACAAACTCTTTTTTTGTTATGTCAATTTTATTTTCAACCATAGGCAACTAAGTGACTACATCATTAAATAGATAAGTCATGAATAATTATTCACGAGTGTTATAACCGAGGTTGTTAAACTTCTACTGGTCGACCGGTTGGACCAGGTCCGACCAAAGTCATGTCCAAAATGGTCAGATTGTTGGAAGGGGGAGGGGGAGATAGGGAAGGGGATAGTGGGTGGGTACTTAGGTAGATTTTGTTTAGAATTTGAATTTTTAGTATATATAAGTCAGATACATTCCATTTCAGTCATTTAATTTTTTATTATCTTATATGCATATATATATATTTAGAAAACAGGTGTAAAACAGCTCAAATAAATTGGACCCAATCAAACCATTAAACTTCAAACAACTTGCTTGACTGACTCAACGACTTAAACCGGTTTGACAATTTTGGTCATAATCATTAAGATTGCAGTGTTCATCATTGATAAGAAGTTATCAAGACTTTCAAGAATGGAAACATAATTTCAATACCACCTTAATGTCATACGGAAGTTAGCATTTCAAATAGTTTGAAAAATTTAGATACACATGATAAATACGTTGAATTCAAATTACATTCTGACCAACGGCCGTACACCAAACTAGTTCTCTATACAAGTCGGGGAGCACTCCAAATCCGTGTCTCTACCATTTGCTATCAGAGCAAGTTGGTGCTCAACACCGGAGAAAGGAAATAATGGTGGCTTCCAGCAATTTTTCAATTGCAAGCAGACTCATCAGGTATGGGCCTTTCCACCAAATACATTTTTTTCTCTTGCTTAAGACATATAATTAATTAAGCTTCAGAACCAATTGAAGAAATTGGAACCATTCAAGTTCTCCTTCTCAAGGATGTTTCACAGTGAATTAGATTGTTTTGTTTCCTAATCACTCATGTCTACACCAAACACATAAGATTCTAATGTCATGATTCATTCATCTAAATAAGACCCATTAAATGATAGTCCCACTAATTTCTTCAAAATTATTACCTTCAAAGTATCATTGCATGATAAATATTATCATATAAGACAACCACTTTGTCGATTTTTCAAAACAATTATCAGATTATTGATTGGATAATTTTTAATTTTTTCGATACATCCCATGTTATTATCTCAACTAGGCTTCAATTTCATAATACTATTAGGATTACTTGGTTAAGTTGATCCAAATGTTTAACACTGAGTAATGTATGATAGGGAGCACCCATCTTAAACATGAAACTACTCTTCTTTCATCAACACTTTTCAAATCTCCCAATGATAATAGAGGGCACATAGCCTATGATATAACTAACATCAATGATCAATGATTTGATGAGGATTAACGTATTGGTAGACATTTTAAACTTAAACTTTCAACAACAGATTTAATTGTTGTTTGAGAAGTATCATTATACATCTCCTAAATTAATTACATATAATATTTTAATAAAATGTGACTTAACCTATTGTACTTTTTGGAGAGGTCTTTCTGTCCTTAGAAACACATCTAATTTGCCATAACCCATAACGTGAGTTCTGAGGTGAGAGGGTGATCTCGTGGATTTATTTGTGTAAAGAGATGTTTGCCTAGAGGCGACAAACTCCTGTTTTCCTTTCATTACAGTTATTCTGAACAAGTTCTTGGATAACCAGCCTAAGGATTTTGTTATTAATAATAGTGACGATATTGATGATAGTTATTGCATGCCATAAATAAACTCGAACACTCAAGAAGCCTGTCGGGCAGGCGGACTCACATCTCTTACAACCGTCACAGTCCGTTGTTCGTGGAGCATTAGCAATTTGCTTCGCTTCTAGGCCAACATCTCTTTACACAAAGAAATCCACCTGATTCCCCGCTTACCTAGTTTCCATTGAAGTGATTAAATTCATCACGTCATGATTAGCCATCTGAATCTTCAAAATGACTCATCTAAAGTGATGATTATTCATTCTCGAATGAATCCTTATTCAACACCTTATGCTTATTAGCACATTATGGTAATAATGTGGAAGATGAAGATGATTCGATCTTTATATAATCTACTACCTCATAGTTATAATGATTAGACCGATATGATCCACCACGTGCTTAATTACCACCTCTTGCTAATTAACACCTCGTTCTTAACTAAAATAATAATTAATCTTAATTTAACAACCAAGACAATTCTAGATCCTTAGTTTAAATGCACAAAGCATTAGACTCTACACTTATAGTCCATAACCAACATGCTTTGACTATTCAACTTACCTGAACAAAATTTTTGTATGTGACCTATAGGTTCTTCTCACGTTGGTAATGATTTTAACATCCACAGTCATTAAAAAAGAGCAGGGTCTATCAATGCATCATTGATACCTAAGTGAACTTAGAAGTTGGGGTGATCTAACTAATCTTTCAGTATAATCACTATCATATTATTCTTTTGATTTTGATAAATGTTGTGTCTCTTCATCATGACATCTAGATAAACCACGAGGCACATATAAGTGTCAATGTCATATAGTGAATATGTTTTACCTGATACAGAGTGCACATAATGTGACAAATATTGGTGTAATATATAAATCCTCGACTATGGATACATTCCTTTGTCTTACTCCATCAATACGCCTGAAGATGTCCCTCAAATATAATTTGGATTAACGAACCCCATCAAGGTTAAATACATAATGAGTTATGCACCCAATAACAATTATGTCTCACCCTATTAAGACATGATTAAATACGGTATCAAAGTATGTAGGCCCCACATCAAAGGACATCATTTTTTATGATCACCTAAGATACGCTTATGACACAATTGTACACTATGTGAAAGTGCTCCCCGGTTGGGTCTTTCCATAACAAAAGTTCTCTAAATCGTAACTCCTATACATTACATAACTATGTAAACATATACACATGCACTAGTCTTGATTGTATAAGAGCTGACCAAGTTCTTGCTAATATATTGTACAAGGGATGTTTAAGAATTCACATCAAATATGTGATGTTCTATAATCATTATCATGTTTATTAAAAGAAAAGTTTGATATAAAATACAATAATTTAACAAAGTCTCAAATATGTATAATATATACACGATACAAAAGTGCAACACAAGCGTCCTAACTGCATATCAAAATATGAATGACTTTTGGGCACAACACTAATAAAATCTTCATTCATCACTTGTTACACCACACGTAGTTCACTCAATGATTATTTTTAACTTCTCAACAGTGAACTTGGCACAAAACACTAGTGCACCGACCATCAAACAAAAAGAAACAAGAGCCGCACCACCAAAATGCAACCACACCGCCAAGTACGAAAACAACAAAAACTCAGTGGTGTCGGCCACCCTATTCATCGCGATCCCGAAACTAGCACTGCGTGCTCGATTCTTGTACTCGAACACCTCAGAGGCATAAATCCATGTAATCGGGCCCAACCCTACCTCAAACTGTTTAAGCCTAGAAAGTGCCAGGCGGTTTAGATGAAGGTCAGTGAGGAATCCGCGGACTCCTTGAGTTGTGGGGCTTCCGTCTCCTGCAGGAAAAGGTCCCGGGGCGTGGCCCGGGGACGCTCTCCGATGCTTAAATCAGTATTCAGTGGGGAAATAGTAAGTAGAAATAGAATGAGTAAATAGAGAGAAGGAGTGAAGTAGAGAGAGAGAGTGAATAAATGGCAGCCCCCCTTAAATGTGGCGGTTCTCTCTTATTTATAGCCTGCTCTGACACCCTGTCAGACTCGATACCTCGTACTCGTTCCCCGAGGTACGCCCGCGGCGTCTTTTAATGTATCGTCAGCCTTTTGGCCCCACCAGCTGTTCGTTCCTGGGCGCGAGCCCATTGTGGATGGCCGAACAAGATATTTGGGCCAGCCCTGCTCACGCTTGGGCCTTCTTTCAGCCTTTTCCCCTTTTGGGCCATTCCCCAATATCCACGGTTCTTGATTTAGATGGTGGTCCCTTTTGGCCCAACATTTGTCCCGCAGGCGGGTAAAGCCCCCGGATTTGGGCGGCTGATTTTCTGTTCTCAGGGCGGGATCATCCTCTAAATCAAGGACCCGCCCAGGTAAGCCTTCCCCCGGACGTCAAATCTGGGGCAAACCGCCCCGGGCCCTTCCTATCCACGTCGCCACGTGTCGGACGATACGACTTTTCACGGACCCCGGAGTCATCATTGATATGATTACGCTATATAGCCCTCTCTAGGGTTAGCGAACCGTCACTTCTGGAAATTGCGCCATCATTTAAAAGCCACCTAGAGAAATCGACTGAAGGTATTTTCTCTCTTCTTCCTTGTTTTGATGCTGTGACTCTCTCGTTTTTCAGTCGGTTATTCTTCAAATTCTCTCCTTTCCATTGTCGCCGTTGTTGCAGCGAGTCCTTTCCTTCCTCCATTGACCGCGTCTGCCTCTTGCTTGGTGATTCTGACAATGGCCGGAGAAGGTGGATCGTCGCTCCCGCCGCCGTCCGCTGGTTCTGGGTCTTCTCCAAGCCGGAGAAAAGGTGGTGCTGGCGCCGCCGTCGCCGATTCTGTTCCTTCCGACACTGCTGCCGCCGCCGCCGTGTCAGCAGCCCCCATTATGCCCATCAATCTAGAGTCCTCGGACACGGTGACGGATCCAATAACCGCCGCTGCTCAAGGTATGCTTCACTTGAACGTTTTATCACCCTTTAGTACGTTCGGTCTTGACTGGGATTTTAGCGGGGTAGATTTTGATTTCGGTGGGTCTTGGTCCGACGATGGTCGATATTTGTTGGGTAGATTTGAGGATGGGTCATATGAATTGACCGATGCTGCTTTGGGTGTGAGCGTAGAAAATGTAGCACCTAGGGGAGACGCTTCCGCCATGGGGGATAACTTGGCAAGTTTTGATGACGTCTCCGTAGGGAGCGTGAGTTCTGATGAGGAGCGTAGTGTCGATGAACTAAATTCTCCCGAGCGGCCCTGCTCGTCCTCTATTGACCTTTCGGAGGACTTATCGGACCAGAGCTATCCGGCGGTGGCGGATAACACCTATCACATACGCCTGCATGAGCATATGTGGGGGAAGCGGGAAGTGCCCGCTCGTGCCTTCGATCGAGGACCTGACAGGTACAGCAAACTGACGCCGACGACGATCCTCACCCGCCTTAGGAACCATCAGCTACCTGCTGATTGGAAGTATGCCGCCCCGTCGCCTACTTCGCGAGCCGGCACGTGTCCGAAGGGGTGGATCACCATATATACTGAGCAACTGAAGTTGGGTTTGCGTTTCCCCCTTGATCCCCTAATCACCCAAACGCTCCTGTGCTTGAACTGTACGCTTGGTCGATTGTCGCCCACCATCATTTTCCACGCATGCGCTTACAAGTTGGCATGCAAGAGGCTTGGGGTCGAGCCATCCTTTGCCGCTTTTCGTTTTATATACGGCCTTAGGCGTGTTTCCAACGTCTGGTCCTTCGGCAGGCGGGATAAGGCATATGGTTTTGTAACCGGGACCCCCAAGCTTGACAATGCCTGGTTTAAAGACTTTTTTTATGCCAAGCCTACTTCACAATGGTATTCGGGTGACAAGGAGCCTCGCACGGGTTACGCCTACGGCCGGAAAGAAAATTGAGACGCCAGGCTCTGGACATTGGACTCGCAGAAAGACCACGCCGCTCGACTCGCTGACTTCTCTCCCTTTAACTTGAAGCCGGGGGGAAATGATTCTGTGAGGTCAATTCTGGTTGAGCTCTTTGGAGATGGTCAGTAGCACCATAGCCACGCCTTCCATTTATTTTTTGACTGTTTGTATTCTATCCTTCTGACTCTCTTCTTTGCAGCCATGCACTTTGGGAACGTGGCGATGATGGCGAGGCCTCCGAGGCGGGGAAAACTTGTTGCTTCCAAAACCGGACCTCCTGCTAGCGGCTCTGCGCCTCCCAAGGCAATTGTCCCACTGAACAAGCCTCCCACGCCCGTTGTGCAAACCATGCTAGCGAGCGGGGCAGGCGGGCTAATGACCGTGCAAGCCAGTGCAGAGCAAGCCCGCAAGACTCGGGACTCAGGGAAACGGGTTGCTGAAGGTTCTGCGGGTGAGCACGATGAGGGACGCAAGAAACCGAAGGCGACCTCGTTGACCGAGACAGTAGATTTCTCTCCTCACTCCTCCCTGCGAGAAGATTGTGCCCGCCGGATGCTTCACGAGTTATCCGGTAAACTGCTTGTCCCGCCGGAGTACACGGAGGCGGAAGACCCTTCCTCCAGACACTGGGTGGGAACCGCTGCCCGTTTCCTCCTTGCAGTAAGTACATTTTACTTGGAATCTTTTGCTTTTGAAATCTTTCGTGCATACCGTGATGGGACGATTACTTCACTTGTAGGCTGGCGTTGGTTTGTCCCAAATTGGGATGACCAACGAGAAGCTCTATATGGCGAGCTTGCGCGGGGAGGTGGAGGCGGAGAAGCTGCGAAAAAGGATTGGGGAGTTGGAGGCGGAGTCTATCAAGGGGCGGACTGCTATGCGAGCGGAGGTTAAGGCTGAGTTGGAGAAGGAATTTGCTGCCACCACCAAGGAACTCCGTGCGGATCTGTCTCGCGGAATCCAAAAGGTGAATAGTCTGATGGCCGACAAGGAAGGTTTGGAGGCAGACGTGACCCGTTGGCGTGAACGTGCGGAAGAGTTGGAGAAGAACCAAACAGAAAGCGTGCTTAGGCACAAAACTGAAGTTGAAGCTGCGGCCAAGGCAGCTGTGGCGTCCTATCTGCTATCCCCCGCTTTCCGCAAGATCGATGATGCCAAGCGCTCCAAGGCGATATCTGACACGGTTGCTGC